GTCCTGGTGCTCGCGGCGGGTAAGTTCCTGGGAGAGGCGGCCGGATGCGGGGAGTGCAGGGAGCCTCCTGGCAGCGAGCCTGGCCTCGAGACCGGGCTCCCATGGACCTAAAGCCCAAGTCCACTCGGTCTCTTTTCCCTTCCGAGCAAGGGTGTAGGGAGAAGTAGCCCTCTTGTCATGTGAGTTTCTGTCCCGGGCCCAAGCAGCCCCTTCGGTTCCGGATTAAGAAGGGAGAGCGAGGCCGAACTATGACTTTTGAAAGGGGTTCAGGGAGGGCAGGACGGAAAGAGCCCCGGGGGAGGAGGAGATCTCTGGGGCCCCTGACCCCAACTCTCGGCGGTGGCCCCTCCAGCTTCCCCGTCTTCACCCCTGGTCTGTATTATCCCACGCCTGGCCACCTACTGTCAGAGAAAGCAAACTGCTTTGGGGGGTAACCCTGACTGGGGAACCGCCGTAGAAACCATGACGGCGTCTTAGTCTAGCCCCTACAGCTTTTAAGAGCCAAGGACACACTTGTCAGCAGGTGCTGCGGGATGAACCTGCAGCCCCAAGGAAGTCGGAGGGGATCCCATCTGCAGTGCGGGTGTCCTTTCCCTCCTCTCCAGTGAGGAGAGCGGGTCGAGGCACATCCATTTGTAGCATTCCCAGACAGATACTCCGAGTCAGCTGTTCCCAAATGGAAAAACTTGTTGCCTTTCTCCATCTCCAAGCACGCTCGTCAAGAATTACGATTATTGCTATAATGACTGATACTTAGTCTTGTTCTTTATTTGACCCAAACCTTAAAACTGATCCTCGTCTCATTTAATCCTCACACAAGCCCCAAAGTATGTACAAGACACATGTATTCCCCCATAACTGATTCTAGAAGAAGCCCTTTAAAGGGGTTCCACTTCCTGGTTCTCAGTTGTAGGGCACATTTCCAGGAATCCTGGGTAATTCGGCTTTTAAAACCGAAAATTCAACTAGCATTTAAGAATATGAGTATTGGGGCGCCTGGGTGGCGCAGTCGGTTAAGCGTCCGACTTCAGCCAGGTCACGATCTCGCGGTCCGTGAGTTCGAGCCCCGCGTCGGGCTCTGGGCTGATGGCTCAGAGCCTGGAGCCTGTTTCCGATTCTGTGTCTCCCTCTCTCTCTGCCCCTCCCCCGTTCATGCTCTGTCTCTCTCTGTCCTAAAAATAAAATAAACGTTGAAAAAAAAATTAAAAAAAAAAAAAAAGAATATGAGTATTATTTTGGTCCGTCTTTAAGAAAAGCTGATGTGTAATTGTAATATTACGCTCCTTTGTGGGATGTCGTTTTTCCAACAAAATGTCACTATGGCAGGAAACAGCATCCTTTGGTTCAAGTTTGACTTTTCGCAGCATCGTCACAGGGGATCTTTTTTTTTTTCTTCCAAAACTATAGGTGGAAGTCCTCAGTTTCCCCCAGGACATCTTTCAGTGCTGGGAGAGCCACATCTACCTTTAAGACTTTCGGTCCTTTTTTGGGATCCAGCCTAACTTTTCCAGTCCTCATTGGCTGAGTGCTTCTGCCTGAGGATGGGGCATGTCTCCTCCATAACTTCCACTGGCATCATGAAATCATGCATCATTTTACTAGCTTCACAGCCTCCCTTCACAGCCCACTTGGCTCTGTCCTGGCTTACACTGTCATGTGGGAAGAGCCAGCATAGAGACTAATTTAACAAGGTGTCAGCTTTTTCCCAAAACAACTTTTGGAAACTTTTGTGAAACTTCGGCTCCCCCACGTCAAGTCCTTAAACGGAGGAACTTCTGTTACACGTGCTCAGATTGTGACAGTATGTGCATTCAGATTGCAAGGAGAGCCTGTGTTAATCATCCCGTTTTCCAGTTGAGGAAATGGAGGCCTGAGAGGTTTCATGACATGCCTAACACACACAGCTAGTGCACACACCTAAGCCAGGTAAGGAACAGTCCTGTCGGGGGTTATGGGCAGGTTTGGGCCGAAGGCCTGAAACCACCCCCAGGACAAGGAACTAACAGCTGTGGACCACGGACAATGCTCAGTGCTTTATGCCCCAGGACCCCTGCACAGTGAGAATATAGCTGGAGAAGCAGGTCCAGATAGGTGACGTAATTTCCCACAGGTCTCATCACCACAAGGTGGGAGACTGGGGTGTAGACATGGGTCTGCTTGATGCTTTTTGATGAGGCGGACCACTCGGTTTGGAGGGGGAGCCTTTCTCTTCTGGCCACTTTGCCTCAGGCGTGGTTTTCCAGACTTCAGTTGTTGCTGTGTTAACCTGCATAATTTCCTCTATCTACATGTCACCTGTATAGTGAGCGCCCCTTGGTTGCTTTTCCTTTGCATCTACTCTTTTTTTTTTCTTTTTTAAATTTAAAAAGAAAGTTTCAAAGCAACGAAGGGCATTTGGACAGCTAGGGTCAACTTCTAGAATAAAAAAAGAAGTAAAGGGAAAATAAATGCAAAGCGCGAATTGAATTGACTTTGTAAATCCAATACTGTTTTAGGCAAAACCATCTATGAAAGACATTTGCATGAGAAACGGAGATAGTTGACTATGGATGGAGTTTTAAATGATACAAAGGAATTAATCATCTTAGATCTGCTAATGGTCTTGTGGTAATGTAAGAACATGTGTTAGGGGACAGATGCTGTAGAGGAATTTAGAGGTAAAATATCTAGAATTTACTCTCAGTTCAGGAGGGCAAAAACCCCAATAGATCATTTGACCTCTTATGACAAGGTGTTGATGATCATTGGATCTAAGCAGCGGGTATATGCCTGTTTATCATGCTATGCCCTCAGCTTTCTAGTCTGTTTGAAAATTTTCACAGTAGAAGAGTTGGAAATTAAAAGGGAAGGATATCAGTATACATGGAAATTCGGATCCCTTGCCATAAATAAAAGATTACTGTGCAAACACAGTGCAAACAAAATAAAACAATTCTAGCTGGAATCTTTTCCCTCGCGAAGGCCCTTGCAAAGGCCGTGAGACTTTCTCCTTTAGGAAAAATGAAGAGAATTACAAAAGGAAGCATTTTCTCCTGGGGTAATGCAAAGCTATTTAAGTATTTACACTGTTCCCCTCTGAGACCTGCCATCCTGAGGACCTGGTCTTGCCTTCCAGGTGCTCCTGTCCCATGATTCCCGTGGACCCCGGCCATGGTAGCTGGCCCCCACTCTGGCCATGGACGAGGTCACCTTCAAAAGTGACACTGTGCTGTCAGACGTCCACCTCTACACCCCGAACCACAGACACCTCATGGTGCGGCTGAACGGCATGGGGCAGCCTGGTAAGACCCGGGTGCGTGCGGAGGGACCCAGCACCCTGTGGACCCCGTTTTGTTTGGTGTTTTCTCCTACTCCTCTCTTTGGGGAGAAGATTGGGAAGATTGGATCGTTCAGCTGTTTTCACTCCACTTCTTTTTTTTTTTTTTCAAGCGTTTATTTATTGAGTGAGTGAGAGAGAGAGAGAGTGTGTGTGAGCCGGGGAGGGACAGAGAGAGAGAATCCCGAGCAGGCTCCACACTGTAAGCACAGAGCCCAACACAGGGCCAGATCCCACAAACTGAGATGACCTAAGCCAAAATCAAGAGTTAAGACGCTCAACCAACTGAGCCACCCAGGCACCCCAACCTCACTCCACTTTTTTTTTTTTATTTTATTTTTTTAATTTATCTCCAAGTTAGTTAGCATATAGTGCAACAATGATTTCAGGAGTAGATTCCTTAATTCCCCTTATCCATTTAGCCCATCCCCCTTCCTACAACCCCTCCAGTAACCCTCTGTTTATCTACCATATTTAAGAGTCTCTTCTGTTTTGTCCCCCTCCCTGTTTTTATATTATTTTTGTTTCCCTTCCCTTATGTTCACCTGTTTTGTCTCTTAAAGTCCTCATATGAGTGAAGTCTTATGATGTTTGTCTTTCGAGGACTAATTTCACTTAGCATAATACCCTCCAATTCCATCCATGTA